TCAGGAGAGGTCTGCCACGCCATGTGGTCACCTCCAGGGCAGGCGGGAATCGAACTCATGCGGAAGCGGCTTTAGATTCTCAGTGCTGTGCTTTAACCCTCTGCGCCACCAGGGAGGGCCATTGCCACTATTTTTTTTTTTTAGCTGCCCTATTAGGTGATGCAGTGATATGTTACTGTAGTTTTAACTTGAATTTTCTGATTATGACATTAAAAACCTTTTCATTTTTAAATACAGAAGTTAATTAAGGCTGTAGATCTTTCTACCATATTACCTGAAATGTACAAAAGGAAAATAAACTGTCCTGGGGAAGCAAAAGGTCAAATTGAAAACACGGGCCCTATGTTCTGTTTTCTGCAACAAATCAAAGGTGGGGTGGGGGGGGGAGTCGTTTTTAGAGAATAAAGGAAATAACATAATGTACTATGTGTACTTTGTTTGGACTTTGATTTGAACAAACCAAAAATAAAAACATCTGTGAGACAACTGGGGAAACTTGACAAGGTATTTATTACCCATTACTAAAGAATGATTGATTTACTCATACTGATGTATGATTGTTGCATAAGAATAGTCTTTAGGTAGAGATCAATACTTGACTTTACATGATAATGACATATTTTGGACCTGTTTTAAAATATTAGTGGCACAGTGGATTAAAGCTCAGCACTAAGAAGCTAAAGCCACTTGAGCATGAGTTTGATCCCCGCCTGCCCCGGAGGTGACCACATGGCGCTGCAGACTTCTCCTGGCCCCAACTGCTCCCCTCAGCAGTGTACTTTGTCGATCTGCCTGTTCTGTTGCTGGTGAAACCTCTCACTGTCCCTGCACCTTTAGCCTGTACCTCAGTTCTGTATGCATAAATAAATCTTTTTTTTTTTTTTTAAATCTTTAAAAAAAAAGTGAGAGTGGAGTAGAAGAGTAAGAGCTTGGCAAAATATGTGTAATTGTTGAAGATGAGTAGTGACCATCTGAGGGGTATTATGATATTATTCTTATTACTGGTGATGTCTACTGTTTTTCCTAAGTGATCAGAAAAGGTACTTATTGAAATAATACCTGGTGTTTATTTCAGAAAAAGTCAAACAGATACTGTTACTCTGATGGCATTTTCTATTATAACACAAATACAACCATGATGGAAAAAATGTATTCTTTGAGGAAAAGAATTTTTTTTTTTTTTTAAATTCAGGCAGAAGAAAACAAAAGACTGCAGAAACGCCAGCTGGAACAAGAAGAAAAATTGGCTCTAGAATTGGCAAAACTAAAACATGAAAGTCTAAAGAATGCAAAGATGAGGCAACAAGTAAGAGAGAACAGGTATTGTGGTTTCTATAGATTCCATTCATCACTTTAAACGTATGAAATACTTAGCACCTGACAGATTTTTCCATATTGAACATAGATAATATTTTGCCTAGAAATAATTCTGCTTTATGTCCTATGGTCATTTCACACAAAAAAAATTGTATATGAAACATGTTACTATTTAAGGTAAAAATAAATATTAATTTCTTCTGCCCTTTCCTATAAATATAATCTTTAGAATGACCTTTTATAAAAATAATTTACATAAAGTCTTTGGTGATGACCTAATTTACTTTTACATCCTCTGAGAACTTCCTACAGTATTTAATTCTGGACACTGGGCAGTTGTGGTTCAGCACTTCTGATGACTAATAGGAACTTTATATTTCATTCAGCCCTGATTTTATATATATTTTTGGGCCTCTACTGTTTATTTTGTGCCTTTGTGTTATTACAGTTTACAGTGAGAAAGAAAATTTATACCAAAATAATTTATATTCTGTATAATTCAGTGAGAATGCTAACCTTAAAAAAAAAAAAAACTTTTTTCTTAAAAACTTTTTCAATGAAATACCACTGTTTCTTAGCCTTAATATTCTGACAGTATAGGATTTCTTAAGTGTGATCACTACAGCCTTCCACCATAGTCCATTGCACTTACACTCCCACCCCTTTGTTTATTGATCTATTGACACTTGGTTCTCTGTCTGAGCATGGATGTGTACATACCTTTTGATATGTGAATTTGTTTCTCTTGTTTTCTTTGAATAAGTACCCAGAAGTTAAATTGCTGAACCCTATGATAATTTTGTTTCAGTTTTTGAGAAACCCTTAAGCTGTTTTCCATTGCATCAATTTACATTCCCACCAACAGTGTTCAAGAATATCCTTTTTGCTACATACCTGCCAACACTTTTTTTTAATGAAAAGTATTTTTAAAAATAAGGTACTGAACTGTGAGCTATGAAAGATATCTGAAGTCTAAACTGTCTAAGTCTAAACTAGACAATCCTGATTTTAAAGAATTTAACCCCTATTTCAAAATTTTCCTGTAACTTTCATGCATTTATCTTACTTCTGATTAAAAAAAATTAATAAGCTTAGTTCTTTAAGATATCCTTTCATACTTAAGAATTTACTAATTATTGGGTTGTTGGAAAAGTAAAGATGCATTTTTGCTTGAAAAATGAAAGAAAAAGGTGTCATGATTTTTCTGGCAACCCAATATTTTTTGTTAAATATCACTCAATCTTTCATTTGTTACTTATATAACAAGTTTTCAAGCTTCTTCACCATATTGGTTCTCTTTTGTAGATGTACTGTAGTTATTGATATTTCAAAAAAAAAGATACTGCCTCCACACTTACTCATAAAACATCAGGATACTGCATAGTATCCCTAAAGTGTTACAATTAGCCACATTTTTCTAGAATGTTTAATGTTAGCTAAGATTGAATTACATTTTAGGGGCAGCTATATCCCTCTGTTGATAACTCAAGGCTAACTAAATGCTCATCCTCTACTTCTATAATTGAATATAACACTTGAGGAATAAGCCTCCTAGACTATTATAAGACTGAAGGCTAAGCCTCGTGTTTGAACATCATTAAATTATGTTTGCTAAATCTATCTAGATATATATATATTTCTGAGTCTACAACTTTTATCACATTCTTTAGGGTATCATTACTATTATTTAAAAAGATTTAGACTTATGCTGACTTCATATTTTTGTAGTCTCAAACTGTTTTTTGGACTTGCATTGTTCAATCATGTTAGCTACCAGTCATGGCTTTGTTACCTGCAGATGAAATAAATATTTCAACATATGTTTGTTAAAATTCACTAACATAAGAGTGAAATAGAGGAGCTTTCCACTTTTGGTTATTGTATATTAGGTGATTCAGATAGATGCTGCCTCTGCGAAAAGAATGGCTGGAGAAAGTATAAAGCTAAGATCCAGCTGGAAAACCAGAATGGTAAGAAAGTCTGTTATTGGTAGCTGCATTTCCTCTGCAAGCTTCTACTTACTCCATTAGTAGGGCTGTTGAATTCAGAAGCAAAACAGAGCTCATAGCCAGTAGGCATATGGTAAGGTTGTAAAGTATATGCTATGACTTATGCACTTTATCATGTTTTACTTGACCAGTACAGAATTTAACTAGATTTTAGTAGATATAAACAAATGATGACATAATATGTGAGTAGGCTAGTGGAAAAAATACTTAGAATAAAACATATGAGAGACAAAATGACTGGAAAATAAGGAAGATAATATAAAAGAGGTAAGCGCTTAAGGTAAAAAATTCTGACAGATGTATAACTTTAGTCCTGGTAGTAGAAATGAAAGAGGATAATGCAGCAGCAGTATTTGAATAGATAAGATTTCATTCATATACACACACACACACACACACACACACACACACACACACACACACACATACACTGGCAGCTGCATCCTAACTTATAAGTAAGACTGCATTTGAACAGCAACAAAAGTTGAGATTTAAAAAAAGTCCATCTATAATTTTATACCTAGTGAAGATTTCCTTATTTCCTTTAAAGTTAAGGCAAGTCATTCAGTTGAGTATGCTTTCAAATAGTGTGCTGCCTCCCAACATGTCAAAACCACAAGTTTTTTGTTTTGAAGTTTAAAATTTTTTTTTCTAAATTTTTAATTTATAAGTTTATTTTTACATCATTTTGTGCCTTTTTCCATTTCAGTTGTAATCCCCGTGGGCTTACCATCACCAAATCACTGGTGTGCCATCACCATAGTCCTGTGCACTTTTTACCTCGTTCTCCCCTCCATCCCCATTAAATGTCTCTGGTATATGGCTGTTCATTATTTTTTTTTTTTTGCCCCTGGTCCTTTATACTCCTGCTATGAGTGAAAGCATCTGGTAGTTTTCTTTTTCTTTCTGGCTTATTTCATTGAGCATAATTCCTTCCAGCTCCATCTATTTTGCTGCAAAAGGCACAAGTTTATTATTATTTTTTGGTTGCTAAGTAATATTCCATTGTGTATATGTACCACATCTTTTTAATACAGTCATCTACTTTTGGCATTTGGGTTGATGCCATGTCTTTCCTATGGTAAATAAAGCAGCAGTAAACATGGGGGTACAGGTATCTTTTTGAATCAGTGGTTTTGTGCCTTTTGGGTAGATACCTAGGAGTGGGATTGCTGGGTATATGGAAGTTCCATGTTTAGCACTTTGAGGAACCTCCCAACAGTTTTTCCATAGTGGTTGTACTAGTTTGCATTCCCAGTAGTGCAGAAGAGTTCGTTTTTCTCTACATCCTCTCCAACATTTGGTGGTGGTGTTTTAAGATGTACCATTCTCACTGGGGTGAGGTGGTATCCCATTGTGGCAAAACTGCTAGTTTTTTAATAAGCCAAGGTAAAATTTTTGACTGTCATACACAAATGAACCATTTTTCTGATCAGTGTCTTCATTTGCAAATTGGTAGGTCTAAGTTTAGGTAAAGGTTTGCTGTGGACATTAAAATACATAATCCTATGTCTTTAATAAAAATTCATCCTTTTTAGAAATCTGAAAATTAGGTAGATGCTAGGCAAATGGTACCTGTGTGACTGACCCTCATAAAAACCTTGCATTGCCAATGACCAAGGGCTCCGGTGTGTCCACAGCTTCATCAACACTTCAAAAATTGTTTACTTTTATGGAAAATGTTTATTGTGATGTTGGTTTGCATTTTCCTAATGACTAATGATGTGAAGTATTTGTGTTTGCTTATTATCCATTGTTTCTTTTTGAGGAATCTGTAAGGGCTTTGCCCATGTTTGAATTGGTTTGTACATCTTTTGTTGTTGATTTGTAGGGATCCTTTAAATATTCCTCAAATTAAATCTTGCAAAGTAACTTGCTTAGCTATAAAACTCCACTATAAGTTTTCTCTTTGTTTGATATTAGCTGGACAGAAATCTTAATCAGTATTGATAGAGCATCTTCTGGAACCAAAGCCCTAGTGAAAATGTTTTAGTGATAGTACTTAATATAAAAAGGTTGTTTTGTCTAGAAAAACTGTCTCATTTCACATGTATTCTGATTTTTGTTTGGATTAAGGGAGGAAAGGATTTTTTTTTTCAAAATATTTAAATGTCTCAAAAATGTCTCTAAATTAGATGAAATTCTTTCAAAGTTCACATATTTTTAAAATAGTAAGGAAAATGTGATGTTCAAATTTTTTTCTCAACAGTTTTGAAATCAGAGAACTGGAGAAGAAATTAAAAGCAGCTTATATGAATAAAGAACGGGCAGCTCAGATTGCTGAAAAGGATGCCATTAAATATGAACAAATGGTAATCATGTTTGTGGTTATGTTCTGTGTTTTTAGCTTCATTTAAAAATTAAGTAGAGCAATAGTTTGAATATTGTGATTACTATAAAAATTAAGTGCTAGGTTTCTCAAATACTATACTTTTTGATTAATTAAGGGATAGGAAATTTTGACTTACTTAATACTGGGTCTCCTTAAATGTCAGAGCCTGTCAAAGATGAAATTAAATTCCTCCTTAGCATCACCAGTTCTATATATTCGAGTAACATCAGCATTCTTTACACTTTTTGATAAACCAGTACAGTGCAAGTTCCTACCATGATCAGCGTATTTTATATTATTGATTTTTTGCCTTTAATGTTTTATCTAAAAGTAATATTTTATAATGCTATGTAGGAAACTTTCCTGTGTTATAAACAATATTCTCATGTTTTTTTTTTACTTTATCTCCTTTTCTACCTTCTGACACAAATGGCCGACTTCAGGACAAGAATCACTCAGGGAAAAGTGTCTGACACACTCACCAACAGTGTTATGCTGTACAAAATAAAGCAGGATTTACTGAAGTAACACTTAAGAGCTGGGTGTATATTGTTACTTGCGCTCTCATATCAAGAGGTTAGATATAGATGAAAGTACTGATTGGATTATTAGTCTTTGATGTTTTTCTCTCATTTTCATATTAAAACATTTTGGTGACCAAATTCATTCTTCTACATCCCCTTCAAAGATGATTTTTGGCTATTAAAAATGAAGAGGTAGAAATAAATGCTCTGACTTTTTAAGTTGGTCAGAATATACTGTGGATTAAAAAGAAAAACAAGTTATAGAATCAAGTTGAACAATAATACACATCACAGACAATTTGATTTTTTTTAAAAAAACCTTTAAACAGGTCTGTATAACAACATGTACTTATACATACATAAGTGAACATACCCATACATAGCATACCATCATTAGAGGAGTATTATCAAAATGCTGAAAAAGTACAGTAAAAGAAAGACATTAAGTAAGAATAGTGACCAGAGTGCAAGGGTTAATATAAAAAAGTCTGGAGGAGACTGTAATTACTACAGCTACAGTTCTGTTCTATCTTTTCAAAATTAGAGCATAAACAATGTACTGTTTGACCAGTACTTTGCAGTTTTAGTTATCCTGATAACTGAGGTTATTAGAGGAAGTTGCAGATATTTTAATCTCAGTCCTAAGAGAACCATTTTTGATGAAAAGTAACCCACAAAAAATTAAAGTCAAATACTCCTAGGGGAACTAGGTGTTAGGATAGTGATAGGTGTTTTGGAAACACCTTAATTTTCTTATCTAAGAAATGAGAACAATATCCATCCATAAGTATGTGGGAATATGTACATAAATATTTTTGTAATTTCATATTTTTTCTAGAGAACCTAGTACAATATGTTAGGAAAATAAGCAATGATAACTTTTGGTCAGGTCATATTAATAGTATATATATTAAAGGCATCAATAAGATCAGGAACAGTTTTCAGAAATTTGGCATTTTTATTTTAGTCTTTTTTTATGTCATACTAATAACCACTCTAACATTTAATTAAATGATGTGATCATAATGGTTAAAGGGTAATTTTTTAAATTGCCTGAGTACAGTTTATTTAAAACTTACTTTGAAATATTATTTCAAAATGCTCAAATCAAGGTGTTTACCTTCAGGAAGCAATATTGTAACTCGGAATGTTTTGAGTAAGTGATGTAAAAATTGTAAAAAACAGGTAGAGTGACATATGTCACCCTTTTAAGTTAAAAGTGATCACAAAAGACTTTTGTGAAAAGACAGACTTGAAATCCAGTGGTAGGGAGGAAAGAAAATTTAGACTGGGGAAAGAGAACTTCTCAGAACTATTTTTTTTTTTTTTAAGATTTATTTATTTGTACATACAGAACTGGGGTACAGGCCAGAGGCTCAGGGGTGGCAAGAGGCTTCACCAGAGACAAAGTGGGGAGCAGAACAGGCAGATTGACGAAGTACACTGCTGAGGGGAGCAGCGGGCAGGTCAGGAGAGGTCTGCCACTCCCTGTTGTCACCTCCGGGGCAGGCAGGAATCAAACCCATGCGGAAGTGGCTTTAGCTTCTCAGTGCAGTGCTTTAACCCGCTATGCCACCAGGGAGGGCCCTCAGAACTATTTAATATCAAACTTGTATCAAAAAAGTACCATTCTAGCAGTTGCCACAAAATGGAACTAAAATTATAGAAATTGCTTCCATCAGGCTTTAAATATGAAAAAAAGATGACTACTGCTTTGGCATTTAACATAGTTATGAATATGACTTAATAAAGATTTCCAATTTTACTTACTGTTTTCCAAATGTTGAGTTATTATCTTCACATATTACCCTAGGGAGCTCCTGAGCTAACAGAAAAGATTTGTAGGATGTGATTCATCCTTCAAACCCTTCAAGTGGTAGTGACTTTTCTTTGCTTTTCACCAGACAGATGAAATTATTTTATGTAACAGGTCTTACAGTATTCAGTTACATATTTAAAAATATTCTGACATGCTATGCTCCTAATTGAAAATGGAAAGATGAATTTTGTTTCAATTGCAGAAACGTGACGCTGAAATAGCCAAAATCATGATGGAAGAACACGAGCGAGTAATAAGGGAAGAGAATGCTGCAGAGGATAAACGAAATAAAGTGAAGGCACAGTACTATCTTGACTTAGAGAAACAACTTGAAGAACAAGAAAGAAAAAAACAGGAAGCTTATGAGCAGTTGCTGAAAGAAAAACTCATGATTGATGAAATTGTCAGAAAAATCTATGAAGAAGATCAATTGTAAGTTTACCCCAATTTTCAAACATGCCTAAATAGGCATATGAAATTTATTTCAGGCTTCTTGGGAAGAAGTAAAACACCTAAACATTGCCAATACATAGTAAGCCCTCAGTAGTGGTTATGATCACATAAGATGAAACTCTTAGCTTTGTTAGCATGGTAATTATCAGACCACTAATGTTTACTAAGTGAATGTCTAAACGTTTGTTGTATATGCCCATATCATATATGTTAGTGAACTTGCTTTTTGATGAATTTTCTTGTTAAACAGTTGAAGTGTAGAATATTCTGAAAGTTAGGTAGAGAGGTGGTAGTTTTGAGAGGAAATGTGTAAAACCTCACAGAAAGATTAGAGAAGAGGCGCAACTGTAACTGGAAAATTCATACCCTTCATTATATTAAGTGGCACATAGTTTAGTATTGTACAAATGAACAAAGTGAAAATGGGAAAAAGCTCCTTTCCCCATTACTAACTGAAAGAAATGATACACTTTTTGATTATTTTGTCACCATGAAACATTACTGTTTGTTTAGGGAAAGACAACAAAAATTGGAAAAAATGAATGCAACTCGAAAGTATATAGAAGAGTTTCAGAGAGAGCAGGCTCGCTGGAGAGAAAAAAAACGTGAGGAAATGGAAGAAGAAAATAGGAAGATCATCGAGTTTGCCAACATGCAGCAACAAAGAGAAGAAGATCGGATGGCAAAAGTTCAAGAAAGTGAAGAAAAAAGGATACAGCTGCAGAATACAGTAATTGAACAACCACGTATTTAGGACTGCAGAAATCCCAAACTTTTTATTAGAGAATTTGGTTACTATGTGTGTTTTTTGTTTTAACAGCTGACCCAGAAATTGGAAAAAATGCTGCAGCAACGTGAAGATTTGGAACAATTGCGGCAAGAATTATACCAGGAAGAGCAAGCTGAAATACATAAGAATAAACTAAAAGTAAGTTTTGGAAGTTAGGGAGCTATTACTAACATGGGGAAGAAGAATAATTTGAGATGAAAGACATTTAAACACAATGACATTATTTTACTATATGTAAGGGTATAAAAACATTGTAATGACAAGACAAATTCTTGGGGTGGATTAAGAGTTAGATTCAGGCAGCATTCAAACTGCATAAAAAAACATGATGTAATAACTATGCTGTCTAAAAGAAGCACAATTTAAACATGAAGACACGTGTAGTTTAAAAGCAGAAAGATATATTGGTACTATACAAACACTAACCAGAAACAAATTGAAGCAAAGTTGATGATAATAGGGTAGATTCATACAATGGCGCTAAGGGTTTATGGACCTATATTAAGCTTCCAGATACATGAAGCTAAACTAGTAAAAACAAAAAGGCAAATCCAAAATTTCAGTTTAAGATTTTAGAAGATTTATAACTAATTATGCTGTATATTACCACATGAATCGACTGCATAAATGGCCATAAAAATCACAGGATTTAGTGTAACAACAGTATCGACAGAGTTGACCTCAAGTTCAAATTATTTGCACCTCCATTAAAACACATTGAGCATATCTGTATGATTTGATTTCTGGGATTTGTTTTTTTTGTATTTATGTATGTACTTTCTACCAATCCCATACAGTTTTGATAACTGGGAACTGAGACTACATATAAGTCTTCAAGATTGTTTTAGCTATTCTGGGTTTTCTTTCCATATAAACTTCAGTATATTGATTCTGCCTACAAATAACTTTGCTAGGAATTGCATTAAAAACCTCAACATCAATTTGGGAAGCATTGACATGAGTCTTCCATTTCATGAATACATTGACTATTTTGATCATCTTTAAAGTTTTCATTGTCTTACAGCTTTCAGCATACAGATCCTATATATACTTTGCTAGATTTACATCTAAGTTTTTTCTTTTCTGGAACAATTATAAAAGAAATTTTAGTTTTAACTTAAATGTCCAAAAACTAATTGCTAGGAAATTGACTTAAATTTATCTCATGACCTTGTCAAACTTACTAATATTTTTTCTGTAATCATGAATATACAAATATGACCAGTTTTAGTTTATTGCTCATTTCACTGGCGAACCCATTTTAATGATGAGAATAGACATAAGCTTTCTTTATTGCATGTTTTTTGTTTTAATTTCGTAGATGTTATTAAGGAAGTTCTACTCCTTTCTCCAGTTTTATTTTTAAATGAAAGGGCGTTAAAATTTTGTAACACTTTTTTTGTATGTCTATTGATAGGATCATGTAGCTTTTCTCTAGCATGGTGAATTATCTTGATTTAATTTCTTGAGAATGGAGCCAGTTTTGAATCACTAGAATATACCTCACTTGGTCATGGTATACTTATTTTAATATGTTAGTGTGTTTTCTAAAATTGCATTAACAATTTTTTTTAAAGATTTATTTATTCATACAGAACTGGGGTACAGGCCAGAGATGCGGGGGGTGAGAGGATTCACCAGAGACAGAGTGGGGAGCAGAACAGGCAGATCGACGAAGTACACTGCTGAGGGGAGCAGCGGGCGGGTCAGGAGAGGTCTGCCACGCCATGTGGTCACCTCCGGGGCAGGCGGGAATCGAACTCATGCGGAAGCGGCTTTAGATTCTCAAGTGCTTTGCTTTAACCCACTGTGCCACCAGGGAGGGCCGCATTAACAATTTTTAATGTTCATATTCAGGAAGGGCATTAATTTTTCATTTTCTTATACTAACTTAAGGTTATTTAAGTTTCTCTAGAGGAAAACTCAGACTAAGGTGCCTTGGAGTTTCTTGCTCAGAGTAGTTTGATAGCAAATTATTTCAATATAGCAAGTGTTTATAGCAAAATATTTCAAATTATTTAAATAAGGGAACTAGAATCCCATATGGATTTTAGAACTTATATAAACTGCATAATTTCCCATTTTTTTCCTTAACTACCTAGTCCTGATTTAGACGTATCTAAAGAATACATGAATGCATGTTACTGTAAAAATGCAGTGATGTTTTTATCTTGCCAAATTCTTCCAGTGTTTTTTACCACTGGATTAAAAAGTGTATATTTGTGTGGGGTATGGATGCCAGGAAATGTCAATTCAGGTCAATACATGTTAAATTTCTGTGCAAACTATGATAAGCTCTGAGGATTCCAAAATTGATACAGAATTAGTTTTTTTTTTAAAGACTTATTTATGCATACAGAACTGGGGTACAGGCCAGAGGTGGAGGGGTGGTGAGTGAATTCACCAGAGACAGAGGTGGGAGCAGAACAGGCTGATTAAGTACACTGCTGAAGGGAGCAGTGAGCGGATCAGGAGAGGCCTGCCTCGCCATGTGGGCCACCTCTGGGGCAGGGGTCAAACTCATGCTGAAGTGGCTTTAACCCACTGCGTCACCAGGGAGGACCCAGTAAGTCTTTTAATGTCTGTGTGCACGTTTTATAAGGACAAACTATGTATTATAAAAACACCGTGCCCAGCGTCCCAAAGAAAAATGACATAGATATGCCCTCTAGGAATTCCTTTTTGGTGAAGAGATCAGGCATGTACATGATAGATAAATAATGGAACAATTAAATGGTTTAAGGCCAAAAAGAGAGAAATGAGTTACTTACTAGAAAAGTGTTTTGTAAAGGGGATTAGAGAGAATAAGTGAAGAGCTTGAATACTCAACTTAATTGAATTTTTTTAGTTTATACTGCACTCTTAAAACCTCCATCTCTTTTTATAAACATTTCTGTATTCTAAAGACAGTAAAAACTAAATTTCATTTGTTTTAGCTAGAATTCTTTGTATGACTTGGTTTATTTCCAACAGCTTTCTGCCCCAGTCAAAGGTATGAACATGGAAGTAAGCAAAATGAGATGGCAGCCACATGTGGGAGGATTATGCCTTTGGGGAGGGCTTTGGTGGGGTGACACAATGACATTTGAACAGTGGGATGGCAGCTACTTTCCCTAGTCCTCTTGATGATCTGTAGTTAACAACCCTTCTAGTCTGTTACTTTGAAGAATGCTGAGCGTATAATGTGATGTTAGGGAAATATTCTGAATGCTTTTAGGGTACCAGACTACTTGGAGTTTGTGTCAGAGTTGAGCAAAGTTGCTGAAATAGAGAATTAGAAATTTACATCGTTCCTAATCAAAAGTAAAAATGGTGAAATGTTACTGGTTGAATCTAGGTCTTATGTATTTACTGTGAATTTTTATGTTTTTCATTTTTCATAAGTTTTGCATAAAAGTGCTTTACTCCAAGTAAAATTGAATTTCCCTGAAAATTTTCTGATCTTATGCAAGATTAATGTTCTGAAAACCAGTGATAAGTAGATGGTACAAATTTCACAGACTACTTTTCATAAATTTATGCAAGCAAAATAATTTTAAAATCAGCTTTTTCCAAAGTAGTAGGTGTTAATTCTGAGTGCAGAAACAGGATGGTAAATATATACGAATTAAGATTCCAAGAAAGTCTTAAAGTCTTCAGTCTTATTTCATATAGTAACACTAAGCTTAACCAAACTATCCCACTCTTTCTTTATAAAATTGCTAAAGAGAAAGTTCCTGAATTACTTTGTTATGTGTTACTGTTTAGGAAGAAGCAGAAGAAAAATTGAGAAAACAAAAAGAGTTGAAGCAAGACTTTATTGACCAAATGGCACTGAAGGAACTAGTACTCCAGGCTGCAAAAGAGGAAGAGGAGATCTTCAGGAAAGCTATGCTAGCCAAACTTGCTGAGGATGATCGAATAGAACTAATGAATGCTCAGAAACAAAGAATGAAGCAACTGGAACACAGGAGGGCTGTAGCAAAACTTATTGAAGAGCGTCGCAACCAATTCCTTGCAGACAAAGTAAGAAAATTTTGTCTATTATTGAACAACAATCAGCACAATCTATTCACCTGCTAGACATTTACATGAAGACTTTTTATAATAGATGTATGTCTAGAGAATCGGGCCAATCACCAATGCATCTAGAGAATATTGCTTATTTCTATATTAGAGATTGATTAGATTCTACAGTAGGAAGACATATTAGCTCTAGATGCTGTTTATCATTATATCTATCCTACCTTCTCAACTCTTGTTAAAGGTTAAGTGAGGTAATGAAGATGAGGCCTGGAACAGATTAAAGGAACAATGAAAAGGGAAGTGTTTAATGACTAAGACAGATGAGGCATCTTTTTAAATTTTGACCACACAGGGTAGAGTAGCCACAGCAATTAGAATGGTCAGAAAGATGAAACAATCAGGATGACTGAGAGATTGGCTTTTTTTTTTTTGTTAAAGTGAACAGAAGTTTTTCAATTGCTGTAGCCTGAATCTTGGTTAATAGCATATTCACTCAGAACCTAAGACTTTCAAAATTATTCCTAGATTTTCCCCTTTATTACCTAATAATTTTAGGCATGCAGATCCCATTGACTCCACTTCAGTAATAACTTAAGCTATGAAGAAAAAATAGGTTTAGTGCTGACATTTCGTCCCATTCCTGTATATTACTGAAATGGTCTTCTAGCTGGCTGCTGAGATTCCAGTCCATCTGCCACCATTGTAACCATGCCTAACAACAAAAAAACCATGTCCTCTCCCTTAAGATTATGGCAGCACAAAATTCCAAATCCTTAGCATTAATATAAACCAGTTATGACATATAAAATTATAAATCATCTAGAATTTTGCCTGACTAATTGGTTATGCAATAAAGGTGATTCAGTGTCAGAACACAGTAATCAAGGATTTTAAAAGACTTTTGAAATTGATCTTTAAGGCTTTGAATATTCATTGCTTAAGAGAGAACTAATGTGGTTGACTTTATTATATAGCTCATGGTTTAAACAGAACACCTGAAAGTTAGCAAGACAATTATAAATAAAATATAGAAGTTTTGTTAAGCTTTTAAGTGTCAGTGAGATTGGGTCATTTAATTTGAGCCAAGGGTAAAGATGGATTTTCATGATCATTAAATGCATTAATCCATTCTACTACAGAATCTGATAGTTTGGAATATCTCATAAGTCTGCTTAGATTTCAAAGGTCTGCAAATTGTAGACAGTTTTAAACAATCAAAACTCCCACCAGACTATTGAGAATTCATTGTAAATAAAAAGGTATGAAAACATCTAAGAAAAATACTGTATTATGCTTAAATTAGAGGTCATACATACCTAATCACATAAATATGTGACAACTGAGCTTTCCTGTCAACATACGTAATTCTGTTTTGATCACACATGACTGGGAGAAAGTACTAGAAAAAAATTTCAGGTATAATGATTCCATGTTAGTCTATATAACTATACTTCATTTTAGGGGAAATAAAAGCAACTTAACCCTTTGATTCAACAGCAAGGTAAATGATACTATATTTTCTCAATTAGCTATCAGTATTACTGTTGATTCTGTTAGAACAAATAAATCTAATGACATTAAATAAGATTCTCATGAGAAGTCATTCCATATTTAACTGTCATTGGATATGGCTTTATTTGCACCAGCATACTTTTGGAACTTTGAAGAGCTATGAGGTAATACAGAAGCTTGACTCTCATTGTAGTAAAGACAAACACCCTTTGCTTTACATGACTTTGATAAGGATTGTCTGAAGAAATAATGTTGTTATTTCAAAGTTTAGCAGTAACAGAACCTGTATTTCTGCCTTTAACATTCTTCCCTATGCAATAGAATGATTTGGATGTAATTCCATAAAAAAATCACTTAAGCCTGGAAATTTTTTAAAGCTAGTGAATTTTTTTATTTTATGGCACATAACTGTGGTTATCTAATTATCTAACCATATTCACTTCTTTCTATATGCAGCCTGTGCTTAAAAATGAAATTTTTAGCTTTTATGTATCTCCTGTTTTACTTACTTTTGGTCTTAAACTGTAAATTTTTTTCAGTACTGGTATCTGGTAAGCATTCAATAATCATTTGTTGACTTAAGCAGGAAGTTACTTCTTTGAGTATCTTTTCCCTTGGTAATAAATACATTTTCTTCAAAGCATGTACTGACCTACCTAGAATCCCGGTCATAACTTTTGTCCTTGTAAATTCAAAGGAATAGTGGCTATAAAAGATATATACATTAACATCTTTTGAAGTTAGTATCTGTAAATAGTTCAATTTTGCCTAATTCATTGGAAGTATTTTATTTGAAACTTCTTAAAAGATGAATACTGTGATCATAAACTTTAATTTATATTTCAAGCAACATGAAATAGAAGAATGGCAGTTGCAGCAAAGAAGACAAGGATGTATTAATGCAATTATTGAAGAAGAAAGGGTAAAGCTTCTCAAAGAACATGCTACAAAGCTACTAGGATATCTCCCCAAAGTAAGTGACACTTTTGTTACGCAGCCAAGTGGAATTTTGGCCTGTTACTGAACATCTCTAAAAATAAGAGTTTGTCTTTGCATATCCTTCAAAGTTTGAACTAGATTTTGATTGTAATATGAACAACAGTTACATACTTGAAGTAAATCTTAGATCTGCTGCTGTCCAATAGCAGAGGAGATTGTTATAACTTGGTACCTTTGGTTTAGAAAGTAAGAAATAACAAATTTTCACTTTTTTAAAATACCTCATGAGTTTCATAGGTCTCTTAAAGCATCTGGATTCATGTAAATAAGATTTCTATCCTAATGTAGAAATGATGCCATTAGTAATTCAGTAATTTTGTGTTCAGTAATTTTGTGTTCAATCCAGTACAAAGAAAGAAATCTGAGTCACTGCCAGTCTACAGTATCTTATTAGTCTAAGAGGTAGACAGAATTAACATGGACTATGTTAATGACAAAAGTATATATACCAAAACGCCAAGAATCTCCCAGAATATATTTTTGTAAGGAAATAATTATAGAGGCTATCTTCAAGTGACCTTTTAGATATTTTAAATCCTTTTAGATTACAAGAGGAGTAAATATTTACTTTTGCTTTAGGGAGTCTTTTACCTAAACTAGAAAGGAAAAGTAAGTAAGAGCTAAAGGTTACCAAGGGCTTAAGTGGCTAAACTAAACCTGGATGCATTCCTGCAAGATGGAATGTTTACTAATTAGCCCTCGAACTGTAAGGCAAGAGCCAATCCAATGTATCAGTCTAGCAAAGCTCAATCTTTCTGACTTACACTTCCTCATATATTGCAGAGCTATTTCAAGACTGCATGCAGTATACATTAAATTCTTCCCTCTGCCAACCCAAGTGGTAGTTCTTGTAGTAATACAAAGCCCCGCTTCCTATTACAGTCGCTCTGCTAGAGCTGAGTGATTAGGAAATTACCAGCATCTACACTTAGCAAAACAAGGCACCGTTTTCAAAGAAAACTAGTGAATTTTTAAAATAAAATGAATTCCATTACCTTAGAGATAGCTTTATAAATTGCCATCTATATTTGTTTGAAAGCCAGACTATTTCATTAAGTGCTTATATAGTAATACACAAATACTTTTCTTGTAGGGAGTATTCAAAAAACAGGATGATATTGACATGCTTGGTGAAGAATTTCGGAAAGCTTACCAGAGAAGTGAAAATGGTGAAGAGAAGTGATACGAAAGTTTGGTAAAACCTGGATTCTTTCTCAAGTCACCAGTAGATGTCAGTGTAACTTTTGTTTCACCGTTCAGTGATATTAAGATTCCCTCTATTAGGATTTCCTAAAATATCCATTGGAATATTAAATTGTTTCCTAATAAATAGAATTCCTTTTGCTCATACTATTGTTTTTGTACAGGTAACCTAAAAAGCTGAGTTTTCACATCCCCCAGACTTACTACAGTATGTCATAAATATAAAATACAGGCCAAAACCACCAAGAGACTAACTTCTTCACACTCACCTACTGTCCAAAAGTTTCTTTCTGCATCCCCATTCCTCAAAAGAGCAGTTCACTTTGGGCTACAGTTGTGTATGTGTGTTCTTCACTGATTTAGCCAAGGAAATAACATCTTTTCCATATACTATGAAATAAAAGTAAATTCAAAGTTTATTTTACTATTTAAGTACAGTTAAAGGGCTACTGTCATAAGGACTGTAGTATTTTAGAAACTTCCTTTCTCTAGAAACTGTCAAGACTGAACAATTATTTGGATTTCATGATGTAGTAGATCACTTATGCATCTCCCCACTCAAGTGCCTTCATAAATTCCTCCTCAGTGAAAGACAGCATCTTGGCAGCTTCGATATGCATCTGTTAAAAAAATTATTGTGAAAATTTTAAAGATTTTTCTATGCACTATTGTAAAAATGTGTACTCTAACTCCATAACCACATTTGAAATGGTAAATACACTAATAGATCAACCTATAAGACTATTTGTCTAGTGATAGTATTGAACCAACCTACTGTTGAGAACAATTCAATGATGCTGTAATTACTTGAAAATAGGAAACTGGTAGAGCTTCCTATCATCAGATGATCTGATTGTCAAAAAGGGAATGTAATGTTTTAGTTTTCTTAAAAGTTCTAGAGATAAGCAATATTCACTAATTCACTTACACATAGATAAGCAATATTCACTAATTCACTTACACATAAGTCTTTTAAGATAGAAATATATGGTTTGTTTAGACTCACCTTCTGCCTTTTTAAAACATCAATTAATTTTAATTGCTTCTTGAATCCTATCATTAATTCTCCTTTTTGTTTTTCTAGCTTTTTGTTTTCTAATTTCAATGCTTCAATTTTTTGATGTTCTTCATTTGTAATATCCTATAGAAAAGAAAAAAATTTGCTTGAATGCTACAATCTTTTAATGGACAAAATCCTAAAACTTTCAAAACAGAGTATCAGTTTTTGTAGTTTGGTGTCACTAAAAGTTTGACAACTCTTGATTTATTTATGCATACAGAACTGAGGTACAGGCCAGGAGTGGTAAGAGGATTCACCAAAGACAGACTCAGGAGCAGAACAGGCAGATTGAAGTACACTGCTGAGGGGAGCAGTGGGAAGACAAAAGTCTGCCATGTGGGTCAACTCCAGGGCGGGCCCAACTTTGATAACTCTTAGTGGTAAATATTTCCAGGTGAGAAATCCTGGAAGGAAGGGTGCCTCAAAATCTGAATCTGTTTTCCTTATCTTTGGCAGCCACTTAAACATTTGCAGGCTAAGACTCCTAGAAATCCATGAATAGCAATGGTGCAGACTAAGGAAAAGAATTCAGTTACTGTTCATGACAGGGGAGACAATACAAAAATAGCAGTGATCCTTAAGACTTTGATAATGTTAAAGGAATCTCAGAAGGAAATCTGAGTCTATATACCAACACATAGGTAGAAATTTCTTTTTTAAAGGACAACTGAGCAGGACATTCACAAGATGATAAATTAATGATACGTTAGGCCCATGTTCCCTAAGGACACCATGGAAGCAATGTAAATATACAGACCAATGGAGCTCTATGAGAACGCAAGCAACAGCATCAACCAGGCAAACATCTGATCAAAATAACTTATATTCAAAATAGTAGGAAACTTTATGGCATTTATGCTCACCCTTTCCATTTACCCTCCTGCGCAGTGGACCAAAGCCTTTCAATTCATGGCCCCTCCTGTGAGGTAAAAAGAAAGAGTGAAACTTGTTTGGGACTCTGGCCTGTGTGGAGGTCCAGAGAGACTGGTTTCTGTCCATCTGACCCAGAGCATTAAGGAATTTGGCTGTTGAAAGTGGACATGTGGGCACTACAGAGGCTCTGCAGATCCATGGGAGCCTAGGTGTCAGAGAAATAAAATTTAACAGCTGAGACCCTGAAAAGAAGCAGGGCTCAGAGTCTTGGGAAACTAAATGATACTAAAAGCTTAAGGAAATACTAAAATTAATCAACGAAGTGGCAGCAGGAATTCTTTATCTAATTCAAGTGAAGAGTGGAAGTATATAGAATCAATTACAAAATAAGTTGTAAAATGCATGTATTTGAAGATATATGTAGATTAAAAATGGAAGGATGCAAACAGATGTTCCCTGCAAATAGTAGCCAAGAGACAGGGATAGTAGTAAGGGACAAAATAAGTAAAAAATGTTACAAGGTAAACAAGGACATTCTGTGGTGAATATACACCAAACATTAGGGCTTCTGAATCAAGTCAAGTGTTTAACAGTATTTAAGTCAATGGTAAAACACACCTGCAACAGTGAGTCCAGTAGCTATACCATTTAAGTTTGTAAGTGTAGTCCATGATATTGCGTGATTTTGAAATCAACGAACAAGACATTTTTAGGATGTCTCCCTTATTAGGCAAACACTGACAAAATTGGGGGAAGATAAAGATAGCTATTGAAGTCTATACTTATTTTTACCATTATTGAAATTGTCTAAGCAATATCAGAACTTGAAAAACCCTATAACCAACTGCATTGAAAAGACACAGAACAACATTCCACTCTACCATACCAGAACACCTATTTTCTGCTATTGTTTATGGTACATTCTCTAGAAAAGATCCTGTGTTGGCTGATAAAACAGTCTTACTAATAAAACAGTCTTACTAAACTTATAAAGTACCTTTGCCATTCACAATAGAATGAAAGTAGAAATCAGCAATAGAATAAAACTGGAAATATATATAAATATGTACATATCCACAAATATCTAAAAATTTTACCATCATAACCATTTACCTACTTTAAAAACAAGATTCAAATAATATCAAATTAAGAGCAACTAATTTTACAGAAATACGGGTTAAATGAAAGAACTGCAATTATAATACTAAATCTCTCAACAAAGAAATGGCCAGAACAGGTGGTGTTTAGAGGTGAATTCTGCCAATTGTTTCTATATAATAAATACAATAAGAACTAACACCAGTCCTCCCCAAATTTAAGAATTCTTCCGAAATCACTACACACACACACACATGCACAGAATACTCAGATAAACATGCCATTTGTAGCAACGTGGATGGAGCTGGAAGGAGTTATGTAAAGTGAAATAAGTTAGAAGGAAATGAAGATAAATATCAGGTGATTTCCGCTTAGATAAGAAACTGAACAAAGGATCAGAAAAAAAATTTGCAAGCTGACTGTAGATGTGAGGCATACAAGGGACTGGAGATGAATCATGGGTCACGGGTGCAGTGGTGATGGGAGAACTACAGGGAAGAAATTAAAAATTGTCCAGAAATTAATGATGTAAACAAAAAATTGGACAACACCACAAATCACCATGAGTTTTGTTTTTAAATTAACATCATTAGCTTGATACCAAAGCCAGATAAAGACAATGTAACTATAAAAACAATAACCTTAAACATTAATGCGAAAACCCTTAAAAAAAAAATCACATTGAGGCCCTCCCTGGTGGCGCAGCGGGTTAAAGCACTGCACTGAGAAGCTAAAGCCACTTCCGCATGAGTTCGATTCCCGCCTGCCCCGGAGGAGACCACATGGCGTGGCAGACCTCTCCTGGCCCGCCCGCTGCTCCCCTCAGCAGTGTACTTCCTCCATCTGCCTGTTCTGCTCCCCACTCTGTCTCTGGTGAAGTCTCTCACTGCCCCTGAGTCTCTGGCCTGTACCCCAGTTCTGTATGTACAAATAAATAAATCTCAAAAAAAAAAATCACATTGAATTCCACAATACATGAAAGGGTCATACACAGCCCAACTGGCACTTGAGAGATAAGGGTGAGTTACCATATGAACATCAGTGCAATATTTCACATTAACAAAGTGATGGGAAAAAAATCACCTATCTCAATTGACAATCAAAACACAACTGTTAACATTACACTCAATGATAAAAGACTGAAAGCTATCCGAACAATATAAAGATGCTACTTTTGCCATTTTTATACACCACAGTACTGGATGTCCGAGTAATGGACACTAGAAAAAAAATAAAAGGCAACCACATCGGAGAGAAGAGTGGAATAATATCTATTCAAAGATGATAGAAATATAGAGAATGTAGAATCCTCAAGAAAGCTGTCAGAACAAATTTGAGAAAGTTGCAGGATTAACATAAATCAATTGTTTCTATGTACTAACAATAATCCACATTTAGAAAATTCAGAAAACAATTCTATGTATAATACTATCAAAATGAGACACCATAGTAATAAACATAACCAAGGAAGTTAAAGAGTTATATAATGAAAACCTCAAAACACTGGTCAGACATAACTGAAATTGTTTGTGGACTGAAACACTTAATAGTATCAAATGTAAAATCTACTCAAAAATAACTACTGATGCAGTACAATCTATCAAAACTCCAATGGTGGTAGTTACAGAATTTGAATCATGTTTACACGGAATCTTAAAGAATCAAAATAGCTAAGCATCTTGAAAAAGAATAAAGCTGGAAATCTCAGTTTCTATTTTCAAAGCTAGAGTAAGACAGTATAGTGCTAGCATAATGAAATATGTAGACAGAGCCCAGAAATAAATCATAATATTTAAGGTCAAAACATTTTCTTTAGGCCCTCCATGGTGGCGCAGCGGGTTAAAGCACTGCACTGAGAAGCTAAAGCCACTTCCACATGAGTTCGATTCCCACCTGCTCCAGAGGTGACCACATGGCGTGGCAGACCTCTCCTGACCCGCCCGCTGCTCCCCTCAGCAGTGTACTTCATAGATCTGTCTGTTCTGCTCCCCATTCTGTCTCTGGTGAAGCCTCTCACCACCCATGAGCCTCTGGCCTGTACCCCACTTCTGTATATACAAATAAATAAATCTTTAAAAAAAATGTTTTCTTTAAAGAAAACACAGAGCGTATTATACATTTCTACAATGTATAGAGCTTTTGCACACCCTTGCCTGTTTCGGTAAAAATGGTTTGACGAGGTATGCTAATACCATTCAATAGGAAAGGTGTGCATTCCAAGAAGGAAGCTGTACTCAGCTCTTTCCATATACAAGATGAATTCAGAGTTACTCAGATATAAATATAAGACCTAAAAGTAAAACCATCAGAATAAAACAGAAAATGATTCCTGGTGTTTCATTTGGTTGTGATGTCTTGGATTTAACAGCAAAACACAATCAGTGACTACATATAGAAAAAAAAATGTGCATATCAAATCATCTGCATGAAAAGATAACCTACCGAATGAGAGAGAACATCTGCAAATGCAATATAAGGAGATAATATCTAAAAAATGAAAATCTACACATCAGTAACACAAACACCAATATCTGAAATGGACAAAGACATAAGACAGTTACTAAAAGGAATAAAGACACACAGCAGTCAATGCTCAGGGATATTAGTACTCCAACTATGCCTTATCAATAAGACAGAGTAAATAAGGAAACTAGCCCTAAATGAGATAAACTAAACAGATTTAACGTATCTATAGAACACATCTAAAAAAACCTACAAACATTTTTCTCTCAAAAGCACAAACATTTTCAAAAAGAGGTGGTTATGTTGGGACATGATAACTATGAATAAAACTACAAAGACTGAAATAGTACTCATACCAAGTAGTTTTCTATCCCTAAATCCATAATATAGAAATCAACTATTAAAAAAACACACAGCAAACAATAGGAAAAACCATTAGCACATGGAGAGTAAACAGTATGATGCTTAAAAGTATCTGGAATAAAGAAATTAAATTAAAAAAATACTCCAAGACTAAAGAAAATAATACAAAACATCTGAATCTATAGATGAAAAATCTATACAAGAAAAGTGATCTTAAGAGGGAAGAGAATTCAAATGCAGGCCCACAGCAACAAAAGTCTCAAATATTTTAGTAGTATACCTAG